GAACAGATGTTTCTTCGGGGAGGCACTTGAAAGACTATTGGGCCTCAAACTCGCACCTGACCTCAAGTGGAACTCATGCCTGTGATCCATTGCTAAGGATGCAGGTAAAATGGTCAGTCCCCTCTGCCACTCCAGTAAGTACCTGACTCTACTTTTACAAGAGCCAGATTGAGCCAAAAATGAAGTACAGTTGTCATATTTGGGCAGGATCTACCCAGACCTCACTCCTTCAAACTTGATAGAGTCCAAAGTGTCTCCGAGCTACTGTGTGTGACAAAATATTCTCCACCCTCCAACCTTTCTCTCACAGGTCGAATGTGGCAAGCCTCTCAGTGCTCTATCACTACTTCCATGGAAAGTGCTCAGGCAAACTCCATTCCCTGGTCCTGCCAGTTCAAACCTTCACTGCAAGAACCTGTCATGTTACTTATATAGTAGCAAACCACCCACATTCCATTTATATTCCATCTGTAAGTTCCACTTGAACAGCTTCTTCCCATAAACTACTGCTATGTGGAACTGACTCCCAAGAGAATGTTTCCCTGATCACTGAACCTGTTCAATTAATCATTTAATTAACCATTATCTTCCCTTCCTATCTACACAAATTGCTTCTTAACATAGCGGCAATCTATCTCTAGTGAATTTTACTCTAAAAAATAAAAAAGGCAATCATGGTTCTCTACAGATTTCATTTCTTTATTATCTGTGAATTTTCATTACTTCTTCAGAAAAAAATAGTGGAGTGTTTTCCTGTTATCTTCTTCACGGTTTGGAATTCAGTGTTGTTGTTCTTCTAGACTGGCAGCCACTCAAGGTTAAAGAGCCTCATTTACTCTGCTGTTTAATCCATAGCTAGCATAAATGTGAATTATCATGACTTTATGGGGAAAATAGTAGAGTAGTTTTCACCACTCATCCAATAACAAAGAATAGTGAACATTAATAATAATTTCATAATCCTTGTTGTGCCAGTTTTTGGTGATGAATATTCATTAGCTATGGTTTTGGTGATGAATATTCATTAGCTATGGTTTTGGTGATGAATATTCATTAGCTATGGTTTTGGTGATCAATATTCATTAGCTATGGTTTTGGTGATCAATATTCATTAGCTATGGTTTCTGCTGAGAAAAGAATTTTCAACATTAATTTTCTAATGCGTCTAAGAGATAAAGGATGGAAAGAGCTCCAAAGAAACGTGCTTGGATGTCATTTTGATATCAGATTTGTATTTCTATGACTATTTGCATCATCTCCAGAAAGATATGACTGGTAATGATTCACACTACTTATTTATAGAAAACAAACACAAACATCACAAAGAAAGATAAAACAGATATAGATAAAATATGAGAAGACTAATAATAATGAGATCATAATGTAGACATTCCAAAAGCTGGGTGGAGTATTGCGAGACAGGAGGATTTGGTAACAAAGAAAAAAATACTAAGCTGTTACATGACATCTGTCATTCTTTACAGCAGCAAATGTTGGATGATTTCCTCAAAGATGAAGAAGAGACTCAAGGCAACAGAGATGTGGTTCTACAGAAGGATGTTAAGGATATCATGGACTGAGCGTGTGAGCAACAATGAGGTCTTAGAGAGGTTGCAAACAAGGAGGAGGCTTATACTTAACAGGAAGAGGCAGCTGAAGTTTCTGGGACACATAATGAGAAAGGAAGGCCTGGAGAATCTGATACTCACTAGTCGAATAGAGGGAAAGAGAAATGAGGTAAAACAACGCGTGACAGACTTAAGCAAGTGGATAACAGAATATGATCTGGGGGAGGAAGCAGAGGGAAAAAACTTGTTGAGAGCTGCGAGGGATAGAGGGAGGTGGAGAGCCATGATCCCTTATGTCCTGAAAGGACATGGCACATAAAAAAGAAAGAATGTAACAATAGGTTTTAACCCTTCCAAAATCTGTTAGAAAATTCCAAAATATAAGGGTAAAAAAAAATAAAAAATTACAGATCTATCAGAGGTTTTTAAAAAAAAAAAAAAAAAAAAGAAAAAAAATGTGTCATCTCAAATTTTGAGAAGAGTCATTCTAAGATTTGTTTGGACAGTTGAATTCATTCTTTGAGTTGCTGGTGTTATTACTGAAATGTTTCAGCCATTCTATTCTATGGTCTTTTTCAGTTATACAATCCATAATGAGAAAATCACTTTTTTTCTTTTTTTTTTAAAGACTTTCACTGCTGCATTGTTGCCTGTCTGTGCAGGCCCATCTTGGAAAAAATAGGAAATTGTTATTTTTTGGAAGTAAATGACCATAAAAATGCTGACAGCAGTCTCTCATCAACACTTATATTTTGGTTTTAATTAGATACTCTGTATTACAGACTATGCTAAACAACACCTCCAATACACAATAAAAATACATCAGAAAACAGGTTGTATTTTATGTTGCTTTATGTTTACACAGGTTGCAAAATCGCAAGTGCAAATTAGTTTATGATACTCAAATATGGTATGCACTAAAAATAACATTCTGTCAAATTCATATCCATATTTGATCCCAATTCATCATAATTCATATTTGAGCAGCAACCTTTCTTTCAAACATGTTTTGTCGAATATTTTGAAAATTTTATTAATTTTTTATTTATTTTTTACAACATTCTTACATTTTTCTATTTGATGGGAGTGCAAAAATTGTTCATATTGTTGATTGTCCCAAGCACTTTTGTCCACTTCTTTAGCTGTTTTCAAGGAGGTTTATTTTTGTTATATATATATATTTGGTTGGATAGATGTGAGTTTGTGACCCTGGGTTTCACGATTTAAAGCGTCAAACCCAGGGTCACAAACTCACATCTATCCAACCAAATATGTTAGCTCTATCTCTGATATTGAGCGCTTTCTAATAAGTACCGTGCATAAAATATATAAATTATTATACATATATATATTTATTTATATTTATATACACACACACATATATATATATATATATATATATATATATATATATATATTTAAAATTTTATAAATTAAAAATCTTTAAACCTAAAGCTTTCTAGTTGTGGTTGGCAACTAGTATATGACAACTCTGAATTCACTAGCTTGAACTGTAACTACGGTTCTCTAAGTATAGTTGCTATATAGACCATAGGTTGGCTCTGAGTGTTGAAGGAATACAAATGGGCCTGAGCAGATGACCCTGCTTAGAAATGAACAACCATGCTGAAGATGAGAAATTGCATTATTGAAATGAATGAAGATTCACATTTGTTTGGGTTTTGTTCTTATTGTTTAAGGAAAAAAAAAAAAAAAAAAGAGTCTTCTTGTTTGTTACAGATTATAGACCTAAAGAAGGTTGGAGATGAATTGGCTGAAATATTATACTATCAACATCAGTAACACCAAGAATATCAATTATCCAAACAAATCCTGTAATGGAAACAATCTTTTCTGACAAATGAACCAGTCAACACCAATCAGTACGAAACCCATTTGGTTTATTGGCTGTCCTCTGACATGTCTCGTCAGTTCCCAACAAAGGACATTATCAAAAGAATATATAAGAAACCTTATTTTCTTTTGTCGTCTTCAGTGGAGTTTGTACAATAGGTACCGTGACCAGAAAAAAATCGTTTCTTTCAATTTGTTTTTTTTCTCATATCACTATAAATAAAGTATGGGCAACATTTTTTTTGAGCTGCAGAGATATGTTTCATCATAACACAAATTGCTCTACTAACAAATTCAATCTGATTTTTTTTTTTTATTGATCGTACCACAGCCATTACCTCCACAGAAGATCATATACATAAGCACCTGACTTAGAAATGGGGAAAATTCATTTTTTTTGTCTTTGGAGAAAAGATTATTTTTATAATAAAAATATAAAAAAAATAATTAAATAGCTGTTATACATTAAGCATTCCAGATCATGAATAAAAAAAAAATAAAAATAAAAAAAAAAGATGATTTTTCTTATTAAATTTTATAGAATTTAATACAGTGTAACCTGGATATGAGAGAGTTGTCGTGACCGGAGAAGAAGTCTCTTATATCCGGGTTTGGTCTATTTTGTTTAGGTAAGTATGGGCTCTAATTTGGGACCAGAGAAAATCTCTCTTATATTTAGGTTTCTCTTATATCCGGGTTACACTGTAGATAGATTCAGTTTGCTATGTAAATTCATTTCCCTATTGAAGCCAAAACAAAATATGTTCATATGATGTGATTTAATCTGGAGTTGTTTCTCCATGCATTTTTATTAATTAAGCTTCCAGATTCTTCTTCTATCTGCCATGTCCTTTCAGGATTTTGGTGATCATGGCTCTCCACAATTTCCTGTACTTTGTAGCTCTTAATAAATTTTGCCTTTTTGACATCTCTCCTAAACCTTGCTCCGCCATCCATTTACTCAAGCAAGCTTGAGTAAATGGATGGCAGAGTAAATGGATGTTTCCTTTGCCTTCAATCTGTCCTGTAAGTATCAAATTTTCCAAGCCTTCTTTCCTCATTGTGTGACCTAGAAATTTCAACTGTCTCTTCCTGATGCTAAGTATGTCTTTTTTAATTTAAAATTTTTTTTTTTCATGTTTTTTTAGAAAACATGTCATAGGAGCATGTTTGTTTTGGCTTTCATAGGGGGGAATCAATTTACAATGACGTTAACATAACAAACTGGACTCTCTACCCATTAACTTCTATAAAAGTAAATTTTTTTAATTTTTTTTTTTTCATATTTGTAATCTGGAGTGAATTTACAATGAAGTTTAACATAACAAACTGCCCGTCCCTCAAGTTAACTTTTATAAGATTAAATTTTTTTTTTTTAGATATTTGTACTCTGGAGTACTTAATTTATAGTGATATAAAAAAAAAAAATTGTAAATGTGATTATTTCTGGTTGCTGTTTTTTCTGGTACAATTCCATCTTTTGTTCTACTAAGACAGTAACCAAGGCTATGAAGTGAAAAGAGAGAGTGAGGGAGAGAAACACAAAGCCAGCAGTAACGATTGATTCTATTTTTTAAGTTTCAGGTGGAGACATTTCTTCCGATTGTGAGTATAGTTTTTTTAGAGCTAGGAAACAAATAACTCAAAGACCAAACTTTTATTTATTTATTTTTTTTTTTTTTTTCTTTTGCCTGCCTTTTTTTGCCTGTCAAACTGCCCGTCAATCTGTCGAGGGGTGCCATCTGAAGCAGGGTTAGCAGCTTTCTTAACCTACTATTTCTTCACTCTGCTTGATCTTTTTAGTCACCATGTTGGCAATACGAGTGGTATCATCAAACATACATATATAAACTTGACTAGATCATTCCAGGTCCACTGTAACTTGCACTCATGTGCTTTTAAAATCTACAACCTGAAAAGTTGTCTCAAAAGGCAACAACAAAATGTAGAAAAGGGTAATCTGGGATTAACAATAAAAAAACTGCATCTCAGAGTTCGAATAATTTAAATTTACTCAATAATAAAAAGAAAATTGTTTCGAGTTTCAATCAAAGATGCTCCTTATTGGGTTGGTTAATTAATATTTTATCTGTTGCTCTTAATTTCAACTTTATTATGCAGCAAACATTTTTTTCTCTTAGTGTTGACATTTGACAAAGACTTCTTTCATTTTAATTTCATTTGGGTTTTCTTGCAGCTCTCAGTTCCTTATTCTATGACTGGTGCTAAGCCGTGTGGAGCAGAATTTAAAAATATCAGGCATTATAGCCTAATCAGTAAGAAAGCTGTCTTGTGAAGACAGGCCTTCAACAATAACAAATGCTTGTTCAAATCTTCTCGGTGACTTATTCTTTATTTTTGAGTCATGCTGCTTGATAACGACCGTAGAATGACAGACCAAAAGTTGTGATAAAAAGCAAACAAAATTAAGATGAAAGAAGTACTAGTAAAAAAAATAAATTACTATTCACCTAAAGATGAATTCAAAAAATAATATCACTCTATTTAGTTAGGTAAGGTACCGAAGCTATAAAAAATCTCAAAGAAATCCTGCCCCTGTCTGTCTCTTGTTAGTATGATATCGAGTTTTAGAACAAAACTTTGGCTATTTGGTTATAGATTATAAAATTCAATTTTGACAACTCTTCAGCATTTGAAAAACAGTAACAATCTGTTTAAGAAATACAATATACAATATGACTACTATATAAGGTTTGCTCCCAAAATAATGCCTATATATATATATATATATATTTTTGAATAAAAGACAGACCATGTAATAAGCTATTTCACCATAACCCCTTTAACAGGGTTCTGGATCATCAGACTTTACTTCCAAAAGCTGAAATGAAGAATGAAAAGAAAATTCACACGTTTTTTACGGACCTCATCAAGTATACGCAGTTAACGAAGTGAGGAAGTGAGGTGGGAGAGGGATATGAGTGTGTCATATGTATCATTTTAGTTTCCTATTTTAACCCCAGTGTGTCGGCTGGATGTTGCTCAAATCTAACGCTCTCGTCTCTAGATAAAGGTGGTTAAGGGTGGGCGATAAGGGCTACAACAGCCCCAATAAATTACACAACAGGTTTCATTCAAATTCCTAGACGCTGTCAGTTCAAGTTACTTTAACGTGCATATTTGGGAGGTTAAGGTTTGATAAATATCTAAAATTTTAAAAACAATCTACGAAGAAATTAATTTGAAATTCGGTGGAGTTTTGGGTATTTCCTATGAAGCAGTCGATTGGAAAGATCTATAGACAGAACATTGAAAGAGTATTTTATCAGTTATATATCTATATAATAAACACTAATGTCAGTGTATCACTGTGTCACACTTTTTCAACTTTACTCCTAGAGGCCGTAGCCCAACATATCATACCATTTTGGAATCAGGCCGACTCCGTGAGCAAATTAAAAACATTCTGGGCTGGATCCAGACCCACAGTCCTGAAATTTTTGATTCCCAAGTTTTCATTACTGCGATTGTTTTCATAATTTTTTTACATGATTTTTGGCACCAAATTTTTTATATGATAACAATCTTTATAATTTGGAAATAAATTTGGGAATAATCAAAATTAATTGTGAATATCACCCATGAAATAAAAAATAATTGTTTGTACAGAAAGTAAGGACCTACATACATCAAATTGTCTTTAAATTAAGTAGCTGCAGAAAAATTATCATCCAACTTTTAAAAGCTTAAATATTAATACAATACTTAAATGTAGTGATCAATTTTTAGTTCTTTTATAGTTTTTTGTTGTCTACTCCTCCCTACCAATTGTGATGAAGTCCCAATCAAGAGCCCTTCACAGGAGTTAGCTTAAATGCTGCCCGATAGGGTGGTTTTTAAGTTTATATATATATATATATATATATATATATATATATATAACCAATAATTTATCTATTCAATTTATTTATGTGTGTGTGTGTGTGTGTGAAGAGATAGATTACCTAAATTTTTTTTTGTTTGTTTGTTTTTTAATGGATACTCATATTTGAGTAAATACTCTGTTTATTTATTAAACAGTATAATTATTTATTTTCATCTACCACCCTGAGTATTCGAGAAATCTTATTAGGCAGGATTTGAACATGCATTCCTCTAAGGGGAACTGTCATTAGATCTGATGTGCTTTGGCCTCTCGGCTACAGAGTGCATCAATGACCAAGCAAAGTTGAATAATGCCTTTAAATACAGATTTTTCTATGATTCTGGAAATATACATCTCCGCTCAGTTTCAGAATTTCTACTCAAATATGAGTATGCACTAAAAATAATATTATATATATATATATATATATATATATATATATATATATATATATATATGTGTGTGTGTGTGTGAAAAATTTCAGATAGAATATATCAGTGAAAAGACAATATGAATAAAGACAAAAAAACTTATCTTAGCCAACATGTTTCATCCTCTGAGGGATTTATCAAGGCAAATGTAAAGATTTTATTTTGTGACAAGTATTTATATACAAGAGCAAAAATGTTATTATTTTTTCAAAATTTTTTGTATGGTGTGCTCATGAGTATTCATCAGGTTAGCGAAAATGTCAGGCAAGTTCATGTACATGAGGTGATACAATTCAATGTTTAATAAATGAATTTTTCAGACTTATATATATATATATATATATATATATATATATATAAATGGGGGGCTAATATGCCATAAATCTACACTCATAAGTATTAAAATCAGAAGATTAAATTCTTTAAAATTCATTTTAAGAATTTTAAGATTTCCAATAACTTTGTTCTTAGTTCAAATCAGACATTTTTTTTAAAATTCTGAATTCTGTATTTTAAGAAAAAGTATTGGAAGGTTTAGGTCAGATTCCTACAATTATATTTATGAATCCTTCAATTGAACCAAACATCAAGCAATGTAAAACCAGCGTACTATTGATATTTGGAACTGGTTTCTAAGCCTTCAAGAAATCTTGCGTAGTTTTAAATTTGTGAAAAGGGTTCTGTCAGTATTAGTTGATTTACTTTTAATTTCTCCCCAAATTCACCAATCACCAACACATCAAATGCTGATGAGAAATACTGTCATTCTTTGGACTAATCTGAAGACACATTTTCAGGATGCTCATTGGTGATGGCTTCAAGATTCTTAGAAGGATTAAATTTTTTGACCAACTGCTAAATTCCTTTTCTTTGGAGAAAAAAAAATCAATCATTTTTTTTTTTTCCCAACCAATAGGAAGCTCTAAATCTGGTGCAATCAATTCACCATTCAGCTGCTATAAAAATTGGTCTTATTATTTGCTTGCTACTGACCATATTTCTGATAATATTCCCTGAATTCTTTTATAGATTATAAACAAATAAAACTTTAAAATGTATAAAAACAGTTTATTTTTCAGTAAGAGAATTTTAGGAAAATTAATGACAAAGTGGAAATTTTTTTTTTGTGTGATGCATTTCATCCTTTAGGATTTCAACAAACTGAATTGATGTTTACAATGATGTGATTGTGTATGCGCATGAAGGAGAGTGGAAACTGCAATTTTAAATTTAACCCTTTTGCATTCAACACACTCAAATCCTCCCCGTAAATATTGACCCTCAAAATCTCACTGTTTGCCTGACTTCCTGTTTTATTTGCAATGATGTCATCATATATTACGGCAGAGTATATATAGGGCAGGTTATGGTGGGTTGAACAATAAACATGAGGCAGGTTACAATGTGTTGAAATTTTTTTTTTAAATATGTGTTTGTGTATATAGTCGAGTCGATATTTAGTTTATTTTTCTTTTTGTTTATATTTTGATCACTTTTGTTATCACAATATGGGACATTTAATAATAGAAGATCTGCCAAGAATATTGAAACATTATAAGTTAAAGAATATAATAGAATAGGTACCTCCAAAGAAACGCAATACCTAAATGAATTTTTTAAAATGAAACATCTTGACGCTTTTATTTTAGTTTTAATTTCAAGCTAATAGATTAAATTTAATATTTTCAATAAACAAAATACTTTGCTGTATTTAAAAACTAATTAAAATTGACTGGAAGGGATTTTATTTTTTTATAGCTAAAAATCACTAATTTTAGTACCATTTTTAGCCATCTGTCAGCACAATGTAATTCTCTTTATTAAAAAAAAATCTTCCAAAAATAAAACTTTTCTGCAACTTTATTTGTAGAATATTAGATGATTTAAAGTTTAATTAATTTGATTTGAAGCAAATATTACTTTTTAGTTTAAAATATGGTAGAAATACATTTTTTATTATTGTAGTAAGCGTTTCCATTTATGATTAGTAAATATAGTTTTTACTTAATAACAATGTCATCTAACCAGTACAAATTAATACAGAAATTTTAAAGATTTAAAACTTTATAAAGTATTACAATTAAAATTTTTAAAAAAATGAAAATAATTCTTGTAAAAATTCATCAAAAAACATTTTTCATAAGAGTGTCCATAATATATCTTATTCATAAAAGCAATTAAAAGCTTTTCTAATTAAATAATGTCTTAGCTTTTTATTTTATTTTTATGTCATGATTCAGAGCAGACTTTCAGTTATTTTGAGTCCTGTTTTACAAAAAAAAATGATA